AAGAGCTCAGATATTTCACCATTGAACTGCATTGTGCACAGTAGACAAACCCATTGATTCAGTGGGATTACTCATGGTGAAATGGTATCAGATGAAGGTATCACAATCTGTTCCAATGAGAGGGTGACAAGTGAAGCCTTCCCTTTCTCACCGCTGCTTTTCAAACCAAAATACATATATAGATTTTAAAAATCATGTTGGCTCATTTTCAGCACAGACTGTTGTACTTTCTTGTATCCTTGAAGGTTAAAAAAAAATGAAACAATGGAATAATAACAAATGGTATTTTTGTCTGTTGTTCAAGAATCAATGGAATTACATGCTCACATTCAAGGAACTGTGGTGCTTTTCGTCCTTGCACTGCTGGTGCTATTGTGCGTTTGCCAAAGACTTGTGCATCAAAGCTGGCATAATCAAATGGTACTTTCCCAAACTTCTCTTGTTCTTTTGTCAGAGTGGCTCTGGAAGAGGTGACTGGCTGTGCAGTTCTGTAATTATATGGAGATACCTCAAGCTGCTTTGTTAAGCTTGCCCTGCAGAGAGAGTGAGGGGGAAAATGAGAAAAACAGAAAGGGTAAACAATAAGAATATCTTTTTCACTACCTTGTTGGGATATAGCACTACAAAACAGGGATACCAGGAAGCACAGAAGGCCTATTTTGAGGGATATACAAGACAATTATAACAAGAAACTTTTAGGTGGGCAGTGGTTTATTAGGTAATACTACAAATGATTACCAATTGAAGGACTTAAGGTTGAAACCCTTAAAAAAAAAAGTATTCTCTAGTAATGCAGCAACTATCTGCAATATTTACTAATCTACTTATAGGTCACTAACTGAGGATGTCATTTCCTTCCTTTAAAAAATGGATCATGGTTGGTCCTTTGGTCATGAGTCATCAGGGACTTGGAGTTCTGTGGATCGCTATTCTTATCACACTAGCAACAACCCGTCTGAACAAATGTAACACAAATTCGACATCATATGGTCCAACAATAATTGCTTCTGCTATTTGGAAGGAAGGAATTATTTACAACGTGTTGCTCCATTTAGCTATTCTTTAATAACTACTTGTCTTTTGTAATTTCCTAAAGACTTTGCATACATAGAGTTAAGGCACGTGCATTTGGCAGACACATGGATTCAATATTCTGTAATGGCTCAGAAGGAGCCATTATAGCCGATCATGTCAATAATCCACAAATTAAAGTGTCCCCAAATAGGCTTGAATATAATAGGCCGTGATGGTGCTAGTGCCAATGATGTGCAAATTATGCAAGTCTACAGGGTCACTACAACTCTCAGAAAAATACCATTTCAATAAGCGATTTTACTTAAGATTTCTTTTATACTTTTCCTGGTTGTGTTGTATAAAAAAATTAAACTGATTAAACGAGAGCTTTGAAATAAAGGAATCAAGGCGTCCATCATAAATCCATGATAGCAGAAAACATTTAAGCATATACCCCTTAAATGTCCTGCAACACTATTCGGTTAGTTTTATTGGGACTGCCAGGAAAACCCTTTGCAAAGAATCACAATGTAGAATCCGAGTTTAGGTAATATGTTGCTGAAACTAGGATGAGAAGGGATCAAGAGACAAGATTTTTAAACAATTGTCACTGGCCAAAACATGACATTAGAGGGACAAGTATTAAAAAGTGACCCCAGTCGAATCAAAATAGGGAAGTTGGTTAATAACAGAAGGATAAAACAGAGCCGCTGGTAACCTACTGTATGTTAAAGTAATATCTAGATTTTGCTACTCACCTTTTAAGAACACTCCAGGAGTATTTACATGTCAGCCAAACACAAGAACCTGCAGAGTACCCTTTGGTAATCCCACGACATAATCAAGCTAACTACAAACCATCTTCACTTAACAGTCTTCAAGAACTAGTCTATCTCAGTAGTCAGAAGTTGTAATGAATGGAAAACCCCCAAAATAAATAGTACAGAAATACTTGTATGGTATATGTCATGTGAAACTCTTACCTGTGAGTCTGATCATGGCACTGTGTAGTTTTAGGAGAATCATGTTGATTTTTGTCCTGGGACATTGCCAACTTTTCGGCTGCAGCAATTGGACAACCTGAAAGACTAATAAAAAAAAAGGTGTTCAAATATCATGAGCATACGTTTCATCCCTAAAAGACCCCAAAGAACTGCACAAATTTCACCCACCACTGAGTTGCATCCCCCTCTCAGGTGAAATGTGGCAACTTTTAAGAATGCACAGAAAAAATACACAAAACATATTAATGGAAAAGTGAAGAACACTAAAGGGTGAAATTCATTTGGACACAGGAGTATTTCACACCACTTAAATCGTGGGGAAAGCTATGATTGCAGCATGTGTTCTTAGGACCTCTTTCTTGGCTCTAACCAATTCTTTACAGAGGACATATGGATTGAATCACTACAAGGATTCAATTATCGTATGACCACCATACAGATGAGAAATGACTACTGATGTTTGGTAAGAAATTGGGGTTTATCCCATTATACAGTGATGGAGCAGATGTAAAACCAGTTACTCGGGTAAAATATTTGGAAGTTGAAGTGGGGTAAACATTTTATGTTGTTTATATTAGAGGGTTAGCACCAAATAAGCCTCTGGTTCATTTTTAACTAAATAAGTCTATTTCATTATCAATGTTACATGAATTATGATATAAACTCTACTACAGAAATAGGGTAATAGATCTGGGGACAAATTTAGAAAGAAGTCTGAAAATAGCTGTGAAATATAGATGTATCCTTTCATCAGATTATATTTTCACCTCAGTCCTGATTTCCAACATAAATGCATCTCAGCTCCTAAATTATATATTAACAGGACTACTTATGATATAGTTGATGTAAAATGTAAGTGCTGAAAATGGGGCTTCAAACAAGAAAATGAACCAAAGCCTTTCTTTTGTTGGCCCCTTATTAGCTGTTTATTTACCTATTCTTTTTGTCATAATATCAAGGATATCTCTGGGGTAGAAATATTTGTTTAATTCTTTGTACTATGTATGACTAACATAATGGGATCTGATCCATAATTAGGGCCACTATGTGCAACTATATAACAACAAAAACAACAAAATTGCAGCTCAGAGCTGGAGATAAAACAGGAATACATTTTCACAGAAAAAAAAAGTTAATTTTTTTTTTCTATCTCAAATTAAAACAAAATACAAAACCGTTTTTCTCGTGGGAGAGGATTTCTAGAAAACTTCAGGTTCAGAAGGACTCAAATGGAATTTTTTGGCTTGCCAATAAGTAAAGCTGGCCAAGAACGTTTCTGATAGAGTCAGATTTACACATGCACGTGACTGCATAGTAACCGCTGGTACTGCACAGTCCTTGTACCGCATGGGTCGTTTCTGACCTTACAGCGCAGTAGCAATGAGCTATTGGGCACTAGCTCATTGCTACTATGCAGTAGCTGAAGTATCATAGTTTGTGCCTGCCAACAGTATGTTGCCGTAGTGATGAGCTCATTGCTATGGTGACGTAGCTTCTCATGTAGACACGTGCACAGAGTGCTAACCCTCTCCATCTCACCTGCAACCTAGCTACGGCCACACTGATGACACCCTAGTCAGCTTTTGTTAATATTCTACTCTCTCCCTGCAGGCAAAGGGTGGCACCTTAGAGACTAACTGGCTCAGAGAAACATGAATATTTTTAGGCAGAAACCTACCTTTGTCAGATGCTGTAAATCATAGCATGTGACAAAGCAAGCTGTTGTCTATGAAAGCTCATGCCTCTCTGAGCCAGTTAGTCTCTATGGGTGCCAATACACATACAGTGAGGCTGCTCTGATGCGCTGTAATTAATGTGTCGGAGCAGACTCGATTAATCAAGTCTGCTGGAGCATGATAATTACCGCACTCCAGTAGACTCCAGCATCATGTGTATCAGGGTCCCTGTGCTGAACATGGGTGGCAGCTTTAATGAGCTTTAGTTAATGAGCTTTAGTTAAAGTGCCCCTGCCGCCCCTTTTCAGCACAGGGACACTGATACACGTGATGCTTCAGGTGCTTTAAATATAGCGGCTCTTGGAGTCACTCTGATTAAAGATACCCTCCCCCCCACTCCTGAAGCACATGTATAAATGCCCTGTGGTACTACCCTGCTTCACCTTCTGCCTGACTTCAGACTAACATGACTCACCACCTCTGTAGGCAGAGGCCAGGTACAGACATTACACTTTTACCAATATAACTGATTGGAAATCAGTCTATACCTGTAACAAAACAGAAGTTCAGCATACAAACTGGTCTTAAAATGATGGAACCTGGTCTAAGATTTGCCCCCCACCTTCCCCACACACACATACCAAAGTGTGAATCTATGTTCTGTTCACTACCGATCTAAACTATGCCACTTACAGAAAACCACATAACTTTGATCAATTCTACTCTGGCCTTTTTGAATGTTGGTACCTAGCCAGAATGTGTAATTGACAAGAGAGTTCCACCTGGGAAGTCTGGGAGCTACAATTTAGCCATATTCCCATTAAAAGTTTGGGTTTTTCCCCCAAAGGGAAGTTTTCTCGTGGAAAAGAAAAGGCAATAAGGGTATTATCTATCAGAAAATTGTGTCAGTATTTATGTGTACAGCCCTACGTATGTGTGCAGTACAAAGGAATGCTGATTTTTGTTGGGATGTCTCATAATAACAATAATGGGTATTTGTCTATTAATGTTTCATTTGAAGATAATGCTTCATTTGTGTTTTGTTGTATAACTAGAGTTTGAAATCTCACCTGCAAAACAGGATGAATATAATTTGCTATACTTAGCAAATGAGATATTTTTGAAACACTACTAAAATTAAAATATAACACATTTGATTAGAGCAATTATTTAATTATAAATAATGTGGGCTTCCCTTGTGGCCAAGATGAGTTTGTAGTATATTATATTATTCATAATGTAGCATTCTAAATGTACATGGCAATTTAATTTCTGCTAGATATTAATTTTGAATCGATTATATCTCATCTGAACTACCTTCTGTGCGTGTTGCGATTGCTGTTGACGTGTCCTCTTCCAGTGCATCCTGGGGTTGGGCACTTTAAAACATTTTCATGCATGGCAAGAACTAAATACAAAGAAAGAGTAAGTGCTAACAATGTACATAACAGTAACATGTAAATCAAAGGTTATTCCTAGGGACATGAAATATTCTCAGTTGCGATGTGTAATAGGTTGCCTCTTAATTTTGAGGCCTCTCACTCAAATTACATTTACAGATTCAGAAACGATGGCAGAGATGGACTCATGCTGCTGTCATGTTCTATTATAGAATAAACTCTGCATGGTTTGTATCAGTAGGTAGGAAAGCTTTCAAGCACTCCAGGTCTTTTTACTTGTCATGCTAGAATAGAAAGACATATGGCTATTCTGAATCTCTCTCTTTAGGATTCAGCTCCACTCACTGCATACCTTACACTTCTCTGCTCTGCACTGAAGTCTAAATACACTTTGTACCAATGGGTTGTGCCCCAAGCTGCAGTTTGCAAATGGTAATCATTTACGTCAGGGAAAGCCCTTATGTTGACAACTGCACCAATGGTGAACAGAACCTGTTGTCTGCACATTTCTCCTGTCCCTGGCCAAAGTATCTGTGGTGCATCATTTTTATCAGGGCTGTTGAGCATATACTATATCAGATAAAATATTATGATGCCATTTTATCCATTGTATAACATATACAAAACAACCTAATGCTATATTAAAGCAGAAAGTAGCTTTGTACGTTGGCATTTTCATGATATTCTTTTGGGTATACTCTGCCTTAGAAAGAGTGACTGTCGACTGTTCAGTCAATTAGATCCTCCAGCCAAGAACCAGCTAAGGATTTTGTACCCAACAGGACAGTGGACAGCTGACTGGAAAGATGATAATAAACACAGATTTGTTTTTTAAAAAGTAAATGTTGCAGAGGCCTTCCAACTGCAGCAGCCTTCTCAGCTCAACAGGTGTTTCCAGAAATGCAGTTTAATACCAGACCACCCCACTGCCCCCCAAATAAAGGAAGAGAACTACCATTAGGAGCAGGACCTTGGTAAAACGCAAGTATCTTTTAAATTTGCTGTTAGCAAGCTGCCACAAAACCCAATCAGACTGTCTCGATCATTCAAACTGATAGTTTAAAATTCTAGTTTGGCTTATTATGTATTGTTGTATCAAATCACAAGAGGACATACATAGCACAAACTAATGCAATCAGACTGGCACAGAAATAAATAAATGGGGAATTCAGGCTGGTCTGGCCACACATAGGTTAGCAAAATACACAAGCATACAGGAGAGGCATGCAGTGAAGCAAGTGCTGGATTCCCTCTCCTAGGGTTGATTGAGCTAAGCCTCTTTATCTGGGCCAGGGGAAGAGAAGACAGACAAACGAGTGTGTATGCCTGGGTCTCTAGTTACATGAACTGGGAAAACAATGACCTTAGTTGGGGCAAAACTGTAGCCTTCCAATAGGGGCAGAGAGGCTCATTTCCCATTAGTAGCATCGTAGCCCTGTAGAAGATCAGGGAGAAGAAACAGCAAGGGATTTAAGAAGCTGTAATACATGCAGCCCAGGTCTCCTGTCCAATTTTTAGCAATGACCTTACTCCTCCCCGTGTCCTGGGGAGTTGAGTGCCACTAGTGGTGTTAATCTTAACCAGGCTTGAGCTCCATTAATGCAAGGACTGGATCACAACTAGGTTCCATACAGGGCACAGGAGGGACAGAGGAGGTTTACTGATCCCTCTCCCAGTCTCATGCACTTGCACAGAGCTAGCTACAATAGAGGCCTGAATGTGTGCACTGCTTGTCCAGTATGAACTCACTTGACTTTGACACCTGAGGCCTGATTCAGCTGCTATTCTGTACTGAAGGGTGATACTCACTTTCTAGTGGCACTCTAACTTTATGCGGACAGCCTGAGAGACTGCGGTGATGGGGGTACAGCCCAGTCACATGCCCTGTGCCATCACATCCTGGGATGGGACATTTGGTTTCTCTCTTTTCAGGCCTGGGTGAATCTGTAGAGAAATCACATAAGGAATTTGTTTGGTTGTGGTTCTCTCCCTGCACTCAGCTGAGTGGTCTTAGGAGTGTGATAACAACTCATCCATACTTTAGGCAAAATTGTCCCCCATAACCTTTAACCAGAGAAACTGCACAATCTAAACATCCCTTGATTTTATGCTTACTTTTTTAAACAATGGCTCCCACCACCCCCGATACGCCAGGGTGTATTAAACTGTGTGACTTTAGGATTGCAATGCCATTTATTCTATTCACAGCCTCAAGCAGGACACAAGCCACAATCCATTAAGCCAGAAATCTGGCAGCATCAACCAACGGAAAGATCTATAAAGACAGAAATATCAAAACAGCCACAATCTTTTCCACTGTTAATGTCAGGCTCCAGGAAGCTGGGATCACCAAATAAAAGCTGAGGGACAAAACAAACAAACAAACAAACAAAAAGCATTACAATCAGGAGCTGCTCCTTAAATATCGCAGATCTCTAGGCTGTTGGTCCTTTGTTAGGAAACTGAATACATGCCACTTCACATCTGAGAGGCTAGGCAAGCAGCTCCCTCTGGTACACATGGCAGCACCGCTCTGCAGATCAGTCCACAATGAGAGTGAAAACATGGAACAACTGATACCCTTTCACAGGCCACTGTCTCAGCCCCGCAACTGTCGCTCTACATTTGAGGCAAAGGCTGGGATCTGTAGTATATGTCCAACTTCCTTTGACATTCCAGGTTATAAAAGTCCGCAGGAAGCACTGATAAGTAAACGTACTGGATTTCAAAGAATCTAAAAGCCTGGATGAGAAAGAAAAGGATCTGATCCAAAAATTTGCTTGTGAGATATGCACAGAATGTAGAAACAAACTGCTGTGGCTGGTTTCAGATCAATTTGCTGTTGGCTGCCAACCACACTGGGAGTTGAGTGAATGAGAGAGAGAGAGAGAGAGAGAGTGTGCATGTGTGTGGTGGTTGTGGGAGGCAGGGGGGAACAGCTGTAGGCAGGCACAGAGAAAAGCCCTCTTGTAGCTACAAAGTAGAACATGCTTAAGGATGGGAACATCGGAGACAGCAGAGGGGTTAAATTTTCTGGCAAGCCTTTATGTAAGAAAAATATGGAGGAAAGAAAACAGAATGAACAGCAACAGGAGACCACAGAGCCTATTAGAGTCACAACAAATGGAAAGTAAGAGCTCACTGTAGGAAACTGTTTACAAGAGAAGCAAATAAAGAATGAAGAATGGCCCTAAAACATAGACCTCTTTCTCTCTTTTTTTTCAAATCCACAGATCTGATACACAAGGGCATGTTGTGTAAAAAACTGAATGGAAAAAAACTGTGATTGGGACCAGTAACAAGTTTTCTTAACTGGCAAGGAAGCCAAAATAGAAAATTAAAAGCTGACGACTGGTCGGATTCTTGACATGTTCAGTCTGAGGTGTAATGGGGGCTGTTGATTTTGAGCGTGAAAGAATTCCAAGCATGGTAGTGTAACAAAAAACTGTCAGAAAACGTATGGAGCAGCCTGCAGGCTGGAGAAGCACAGCAAGTCTAGCTCAGGATTCTTTCCCCAGGAAAGAACTGCTATTACTGTAAGCCAGACTGTAAAGCAAGCATTCACTTGGGGTATATTAGGATTAGGGAAGGCCAGATTCTGTCACCGCTGCCTAGTATCCCACTCTGTGAATAGTCCCATGGACTCATGAAAAAAGACGGTATTCAAGATCAGGAAAGATAGCGGTTTTGAACTTGAACTAACTGATTGTCTGAGCAAATGAAGGCAGGTATAGCTTTGGAAGGATAGTGCCTGACAATATGCATGTACAATACTATAATATTTTAATGAAAATGCTATAAGAGACTTTCATAAGCAGAAGCAAGTTTGTGCATATTTTGGTTAAGCAGATTATACAACAGAGATCCAGTGGTGGGAGGATTAGGGGGAGGGACACAGACACAACTTGCTAGATTCTAAATGACTTTAGGCAAAAATAACATTTTCTTCCAGCATCCATACTGTCTCCAAGAGAGAATTTCAGAGGGCGCTCTAAAGACATTCTGCACATGCCAAAATAATCATATAGTTTATCAGAGACTAAATTTGCAGCGCCTTTAGGGTGACCACTGTATTACTCTGGAGGCAAAAAAGAAAATTCAGGGGAAAGATGAATTTTGTCATCGCTTGCTACAGTGACAAAGGGATCATAACTTGCCATCTTTTGATGTTGTGCAAAAACTTTCAATAAATAATTTTCATGTCACTCGTCATTTTACACAGAGATGTGTCTAGTCATCAAGTGTCACCTAGTGTTTAACTTGGTTATATGGAAGGCAGGCAGGAGCATGAAGGTAAATAAGTCATTGCTAGCTAAATTCCAGACCTTTTCTATAGTTACAAAACCTAGTTTAAAAGTTTACCAGCTACATAAGAAGTACTTAATATACAGAGCCAAAAACGACTTCCTTACGTTTGTTAAATATGTGTCTCCCAGCAATGTCAATAACTTTGGTTTGTCTCCTTTCCCCTGCTAGATGCTCCAATAGAAATCTATCCAGTTCTTTGTAAGTGCTGTGGAATACATGGCCTTGCTCTGCCTGCAGAGCTATTGCTTGTTCCAGCAAACTCAAATTCCCTTTTGTTTTGTCCAAGTCAACTGACACGTCCGTTGTTTCTGAGAGGCACTCGTTATCGTCTTCTTCACTTTCAGGGAATGGATGTCGAATTCTCTTGTCGAAAGGATCTACATGAGATTCCTGTGACTCCCTTTGCCCTGCTTCAGAGTCACAAGCTGTCTCAGAGGGGCCAAATTCTGCTTCTTCTTTCTTAATTCCTGGGACGTCCAGAATGTCTTGTTGATTACACTCTACAATATATTTTTGCGTTACATGGGGCTTTATGTTAGTTTCTTCTGAGAAGTTTGAGGAACTGTCCCACTCATTGTCCATAATTTCAGAGCTACTTTCATTCTCCTCAGCTGAACCGTATTTTGGGTCAGAAACAACAATTTGTTCCTTTCCTTCCGTAGAATTAATCATGTAGCATTCATCCACATCATCATTTTCTGTTTTTAAGGAATGGATACCACTGTCATCAAGGTTTTCAGTCACAGTTGGAACTGGTGCATCTTTTGCTAATTTCCCCATGCTCAATAAAGATTTGGCCATGATGTCTTGGTAACTTGTATAGTTGTCTTTCTTTTGACTGGAATTTTCTTCTCCACCGAAATGAGGGGTTTCATCAGTTGATTTTGTAGTACTTTCTTCTATATGGAGGAAAAAGCAAGAGAAAAGGTAATAAGAATAGATGCTTTCTATAGAGAAACTTTAGTACCAATTGAACTGTATTTGCTCAGTAGGAAAAGACATATTTAGCAATTTGTTTGTTTACTCAAGGATACTCTGAAATCCTTAATAAATAACACCCACTTTTACCAAGGCAGTGCCTGAAATTACAGCTAATAGAACCAAGAAAATCTTTTCCAAGATTAGATCTACTGTGTGCTGTGACTCTGAAGCTGTATGAAAAACCAATGTTTTGCCATTTTTCCCTGTTGGTGATTTTCTTTTTAAATTCCTTTAATTTGTTTCCACTCTTTTCCATGTCTAATGTGCACAAAAGAAAAAAAAATCTTTAAAATGGATTCCTAATTACTCTTTATGTCACTTCAGATTCCATGAAAGACCTTGACTGAAAAGACTTTGTAGTTTACAAAGGGCAAGCTCCTGGTCACCATTGCAATTGCCACACTAAACGATACATTAGGTCATGCCGGAGAAAAACAAATGATTGTTATAAAAAGACTTGTAAAAGGACTGCTAAAGATACTAGTGAAGTACATCATCTCTTACTAAATATCTTTCTTCATAAGAAAAGCAGCAGCCCACAGGTATTAGAAGCAGCATGCAGGAAAGGGTGTCAGTGCTGGAAGACAATATGCCTTTTGTATCTCATTTAATTTTTTTTATAAACATTTTCTCTGACAAGGACACTCAAAAATACATCTCCATCATCTTCCTTTCTGGTAATTATCTCTCTAAAATCAACACTGGTTTGCCAGGATCAAGTAAATATTGCCATAGTAACTAAAAGCATTTTTGGATGAAGGGAAGAATTTAGTCACAACACTAGCCCCTTCAATAATGCTGATTATAGGGTACATTCTTTTGTTGGGATCTATTCAACATAAACTGAAAAATTTAACATTTTACTTCCTAGAAAGGGGGATGCATAAACAAGCATATACTATTTGATAAGATGAGTCTGTCCACTCCTGAATCAGAACAACTCCGAGTTTAAATCATAAATTAAGCATAGTCTAAAATGCAAATGAAGTTTCTCTCAATAACACAGCAAGCTATTAAGAGAAAGTGTAAAGGGTTATGATAATTTTAAAGTATTATGAACTACAGAAAACAAATAAAAAGCATTTTCAGTGAATATGTCCAATTCATTGAACTATTCTCTCAATCCACTTAACTACCCACATGTGTACAATAATGATTTATAGACATTATACCTAATTATGCATATTTGGGCTGTGTTAGAGTGCCTAACAAAAGCTCTAGAAAGCAACAATTACCTCTGTTGCTTAGCTACATAGTTTAAAATATTCCTATTAAGTGCAGATTATTGTGGAGGGGGAAAGGGGGACAAAAATGCACATGGGCACCACAATGCATTTCACTTTACTGCTGCCAAACTGTTAGCATTTTGGGTCATTTCCAGTTTACATAATTGTTTGGTTCAACTGTTTGTTATATGTTAAAAGAAAATATTTATTAATTTTTATTCTTCTTCAGAAAATTGGTCTCATATGAGGAGAGGTAGCCTTGTGCACTATGGGCATATAACAGTTTTTTTTTAAAGATTGTTTGCAAACCTTTGTGCAACTTTTCAGCAGCTCATCTATCCCTATATATATTAAAGAACTTGAGAGAAAAAATTCTGCTGTGTTTTCAAAACATGGCAGCTAGGAATGATGATGCCAGTTCCTTAAGGTTCTGTAATGAACTTTTGACAACTACCAGTAAGTGTCTGTGCATCTGAGTTGTTTCTCTCTCCTCTTCTTTTCTCTTCTCTTCTGTCCAATCACCAGAAAACAAAAGCTCCACTATTTTTTTAAAAAGCAAATATACTTACTGATACTAACATGCCATTCTTAATTTAATGGAGTAAAAAACAGTATTACCTACAGTATTAATGTCACACATTCAAAAATAAAAAAAGATTGTAAGATTGGTTTAAAACTTGTATAATTTTCATTGTAGATCCCTCCGCCCTCCCCCTTCCCCGCACGCACTTTTCCCCCTTACAGTCTTTATAGCTCATGTTTCTGGTTCAGTCTTTATAGCTCATACAAGAGGGATTTTCTCTGCCATTACGAAAGCTAGAAACTTATTTTAAAAATACCTGAAACAGATTAGCTCATAATTGTGTCTCTCCATGAGCTCGGGGTTTAGGAAAAATACCAAATTTTGTAAGCTGATGATAAAATCATGGATGTTGGTAGCACTGCAATAAAGCTGATTGTGACTGATAAGGGTACTATTTACAGATCAGCTGTGTTTTCCATTTGAAATGCATGAAAGAAATGTTAACAGAAAATGCACAGTGCCATCAAGGGTTGCTACTCTCAATGTGACAAGTGGGCCACATCCACATGAGCAGGGGCATACATTTGCAGCAGCACAAACAGTAGTGACACAGATTTGTGCCACTACTTTGTGCCACAGTGCATGCCCCTGCTAGTGTGGTTTATAGTGGGACACATTGTCTTGCTGCTCCATGTGCTGCAGTGGGGCCTGGCTGGGGACCAGGGTGGCTTAGCATGGGGCTAGCCAGTGGGCCACCTCCACCCTGTGCCTCAGCCAGCTGGGGAGAAGAACATGGAGATGTAGAAATGGGGGCTGCCTGCTCTCCTGTCTCTGCATGCTGCAGAGCCCCCATACCCCAGCCAGCCACTCCCCGGCTGGCTGTGGTTCAGTGTGTTTTGAGATGGGGGAGCAGGCGGCCTTAGGCTGGTGCCACAAACTGCACATGCCTACATGTCTGGATCAGGCCGTAGATAGACAGTAACTCCAGTGGTACCTTTCTCTCCTAATGAAGTCAGGTCAAAAGGAAATCTCCAGTTAATAGAGGGTGGAGGAGGTGCATCAGTACTCAGTGGATTTATTCTAGATTTACACTAGTGAATCTGTGAAACACTTATCCAAGCTGCAAGTAGTAGCATGGATAAGTCCAGAAAAGGTTAGGCATCTGTAAAATTCAGGCATCTGCAAAAAAATGTGTTAAATATTTCACAAGACAGTTTTTGCTTAAATTTATGATATGACAGGAGAGAAACATTTCTCTGCTGTTGAAAACCATTCTTATTTCAGTGGTGAATTTGGCTTAGCACTGTACTTAAATAGGACAACTGTTGCACAGCTACTTGCTAATTTAAGGGCTGATTTTAGAAGGAAACACCCTGTTCCACCCTCCCCTGGAATATGTCAGATGTACTCACAGAACTGCAGCTGCATAACCCAAAGAAACACCCTGTTAGAAAACTGTCAGAGGATGATAAGGAGGTAATCTTGGCACCATGCATGTCAGTGGCCAACATCTGATTGGCTTTGAGAGAGGCCAGGATTTCACTCTTTGTTCCAAGTACAATATTACTGGTTTCCTATCTTGAAGGTAAAGTTGAATTTAATTCTGGATATATGTGCTATGCTGTATGAGGTTTGTAACATGTATATATACTAAAAATAATGATCGATTTAAAGAGGGTCATTCTCATTGAGATGATACTAGTATAATGCCATATCTGAATCACCCATATTGGAGGAATTTTTTCAGAAAGTACATTTCTATTTGGGAATTTGAGGATATTATCAATTTAAATTTCCATGACAAGCAATTCTAGGAGTTGAGCCAAATTATTGTTTCCTTGTTTTTCATACTACAGGATTTCTGCATTCATAGGATCTGCTCATTTTGTGCATATAGTGGCCTTCATGACCTATTTACAAATGTTTATTTTGTAACAAATTCAGCATGGATCCCATAAAAAATTGGAGAACTCTCTCTCTCAACTCTGTGATTGCCAATATGTACAGGACCCCTTAAACAAAAAGTCACTGCCAATTTCCTTTTAAAGGCTTTCCATTTATTTCAAATATATGTTTATTATGGATATATCTTACATTTCCCCCACAATACCTCCACTTCCATATTTTCATAGATTTCATAGATTTCATAGACATTAGGGCTGGAAGGGACCACATCTATGTTGTAGAACTTTCTATAAATTGTTGAACATGGTTGGTTTAGCTGAGTTAGAATAACAAGTATATAAAACATTCAGTTTGCTAATTGGGTTAAATAGAACACATCTAATAATCACATGCACTAAGCTGCTTGGCTAAATGTTACAGTCAATAGTTTGCAAAACTGGCTAAATTTATTTTCCTCCTAAAATCTGTGCATATTATAGTAAAGTCCAACTGTATTTTTTGGTAAACTTTTGGGGGTTGCTTTTTCATATTTTACTGCATTCATTGATAAATCTCATGAAGAAGCAGACATCTGTCCTTATTCAACATAGGGAGACCTACAAAGTATCTACTGGACCATAGAAGGAGAAATTTGCAAATTCCTTCAAATTATTATATTTATATTTAGATTGTAATGCACCATCCTTAAACTACTCCCAGAGCAAGTTATTCTACATTGCTTTTTTGGAAATGTTCTCCTTGACAGCCCCCCTCAGTTTCTTTGAGGGCACAGAGTTCACAAAGTGGAGTCTTTCTTCATCACTACCTGTAGGAGCACTTGTTTCAAGGACATTAATATCCTCCTGCAACTCTGTTCTGTCCTCAGTTTCTTCTTTGCATTCTACACTTGGACTGTAGTGACGAGGTTTCATTAAAAGGGACTTTCGCTTGTTGACTGGAACTCCTGAAATCTGTTCTTCAGCTTTTCTCTTCTTAGCCATGGAGCATTTGTAGGCACTGCATTGATTTAAAAAGTGGCAATAATGAAAACAAAGGCATTGTTAAACAAACAGTTTGAGAGAGAAAACCAAGACTGGTAAAATGCTATTGCAACCAGCTGTGTTTAGTGAAAAGTTACGTTTAGTTGTTTGAACAAGGGGGCTGGGCACAGACAAAAACATTGCACCATTTTACTGCCAGCGAAGACTTGTAGAAGGAAGGAAAGTAGAGAGAAAAATAAAACAAAACAAAAACACTCCCACCAAACTTTTACCATGACTGGAAACAGCCTTAATCCAGAGCTAGCATGTATTCTGAAGTAAACTACACATTCCCAGGAAGTAATGGCAAAAGATTTATATTGGCTTGATAATCATGAGGAACAGCTCATTGCACTGCTTGCACTGCAACATACTGTTACATGTATGGGTAAGGGTACTTCCTTGCTTCTCTGGCATTACTGCTTATGGGGTTCTGGTTTACTTGCTTTTTTGCCAGGTGGATGAAAATCCAATTTAAGATCAATACATGTTTCAGTGCAAAGACTCACAATTTAAAAGACAAATTCTGTCTTTGGTGTGATCTTTGGGAAGAATTAAAAACCTCAATGTTTGATTTTTTTTGGTCATTATAAGTTTGGCAGCATTTAGTCTGAGTGATGATTGTCTTTGATTTGTTTATGGGAGAAGCAATTCTGCCATATGTGATATGCCAAATTCCCTTCTCTTACACCGATACACTCATCAATGGCAATGGGACTGCATCTGCATCATGGAGAATATAATGTGTCCATTCGCTGTTTTATCTATGCCCATATATCCGTATCTACTTGAGTCTTTTTTGTGGCTGCCTTGTGCCCCATTATAACTGAGCAATCCTGAACAGGCTTCCTAGTAATTTCTATAGACAAGAACCTGAGTATGGTCACGCTGATTACTGCAATATTATATCAAGGAGAACAAAAAACAAAAATCGACAAAACGGCTTCTTAAACAAGTATGATCAGGAAATACAGTATGTACTATATTTCATTTATATAAACATTACAAATTAATAAGTGAATATTTGCCCCCACATATCATGGGCCAGATCCTTTGACTTCAGTGTTACAACATTTGTACTAGCCGAGTCTAACAATGTATCATTCATCTATATTATAGGGGCTCTGTCACTGGAAGTTTTAAATTGCAGGTAGACTAACACTTGTCTGGGATGGTTTAACAGGCATGATCCTGCCTTAAGCATGGGGATGACCTCTCGCACCCTGTTTAATTAGAGTTCTGTGAAATCTGTTGTGAAAGGTACAGCATATTTCAAACATTTTGAAATGTGACTTCACACACACACACATATATGTGTTTATACATATGTGTGTGTGTGAGTGTGAGTGTGTGTGTGAAGTCACATTTCAAAATGTTTGAAATATGCTATACCTTTCACAACAGATTTCACAGAACTCTAATTAAACAGGGTGCGAGAGGTCATCCCCATGCTTAAGGCAGGATCATGCCTGTTAAACCATCCCAGACAAGTGTTAGTCTACCTGCAATTTAAAACTTCCAGTGACAGAGCCCCTATAATCTATTTAGATAATTTGCTCCAATGCTTAACTGGCCTCAGAGTTAGAAAGTTGCTTCTAATACCTGATTTAAATCTCACTTTTGGCAATGTAATGACATTAATATCTTGCAGTGGATATTGCATGCTTAGTAACCTGTGGCAAGCATCTGGACTGAAAGGTTAATAGTAGGTCTCAAACATCTTCCCATTGTGGCAAGACCTGAGCACCCATTCAACCACCTATTCATTCACCTGCCTTCTAGCTGTGCCTAGGCATTTAACAAAGCTGTCTCCATCTCCACACAATAGCACCTGAACAGAATGTATTTTGGTGACATATCATACCTAAATGAATATATGATGCTTTACTAAAAGCAGTGAACACATGCACTTTTTCTCACTTTATTCACAATGACTTTATCAATTTTTATGCAGGAAATTTTGACTGCACTCCCTGCTGCCTCTAAAACAGTTCAGCAATATGAATGATAGTATTCATATTATATCTGTCACAGATGAAAAACTACATTTAAGGATCTATGTAATCCACTCATTGGTTTCTCAACCCCAGATTAGCAAATCTACATGATGCCTTTGGGTGCTGGATTTTGCATTTGGCTCACTGATTTAGCTGAAAGATTTGTAAAAATCCATGTATCCAGATAGTTCCCATTGGTTACACATATTACAAGGCTCATGAGCATACATTAATCCTTCCAAGGTATCGTATGTGCACTAAATTGGCTCAAGTTCTGATTGTTCTGGATGGCAGCATATGACTAATTTAAGCTTGTGGGTTTAAAAAAGAAAAAAATATATTGGCGAGCCACCTTTCTGACAATCTACCATTGCAAACCTGAAGGACATGGAAATGTGAAGTTCTTGTTTCAGAGAAGTTGAACTACTACCTGTGTGAATTTTAAAACATAGTCGAGGTTCTGGATCTCCTGAATGCTAAACTTGCTGTGAGTACTAATTAAGCTGGACATTAATCACTTACAGTATTTACTGGCTCTTTTGGAACATCTACTTTTGCAAATCGAGAATATCACAAATCTCACAACAACCAGAAATATTTTCATTCAGCAAGTGTCCCCATTAGAAATGATACCTTGTATAACACAGGACCACCAGAGGTGTGTGCAGTGTGGATGGACGCGCATAATTTATTCTTTAAAATATTGCATTATCTTGTTTATCAGTTAGTGTGTCTGAAATTCTTCAGTGTTGTCTCATTAAGAATGGTTACATTTTCAAAAGTGAGCTGCAAGCATGAAAAGTATTGAAAAAAAATCCCCATTTAATGTTCTTATAAATTAGATCTATCCTTTACTTTTGTCATTTTTTTTTACTCTTTTGTCAAATTTACCTCTAGCAAATAATCTGAGAATTTCAGACTAGCCACTGTCCTCATTTTCATGCAGTTCTATTGATATAACTATGGCTCTTGCCTATAACTAAATCATAGACTTTTAGGCTAGAAGAATCCATTACATCCATTACATCATCTAGTCTGACCTTCTGTCTAACACAGGCAATGTAACACCACCCATTTGTTTCTGTCTTGAGTCTAATAACTTGTTTGACTGAAGGGTATTTCCCAGGAAATCTTAATAAAAAGTGAGATAAGAAAGGAAGACAAGATGATCATGCTATTAATATACTTTTCTGAATTTATTTAAACCAAACTGCGATGATCTCTCTCCTCACTAGTTAGTTATTACAAGCTCAGCTATGTGCTGTCAGCACAAATGACATTAAATGCATTTGTATTTCACCACATCCTAAAGGGCTGCCAAATTCAAACTTTAGTAGACAACAGACAGGAACTACAAGCAGGGGTGAGTGCCAGGGACAGGTTCCCCGGCCACCTGTCACCTGCACTTTCACTCTGGGAACAGACAGCAAGAGAATCCCACTTGACTATAACTACTATGCCCTGGCATAAGGGGAGATGCAGGTTTGCTTTATTTTCCTCACATGAATTCACACTCCCCTGTGTATGATGTGGGAGCAGAACAGAAAAGCTTTTTGAAGCAAATGTGTAATTTCAAGTTCTGTTTACTTCACATTTGGGGACCAAATTCTGCTCTCAGTTAAAAAAACAATAAATCCAGAATGAACCCATTGATGTCAGTCCCAAATGCCTACAGATACACTGTAAGTACATCTCCAATGCTTAGACAGCTTTTACTTCATGAAGCCATATAATGAATTAGCTGATCTGCATCAGAGTCTTTTGTCTAATTAGCACTGCCTATTTGTTCTGGTCTCAACTGCAGTTCCCTTTCCCCTTAAAATAAGTGTTATCAGATTCAAATTTCCTTATGCTCATTTGTGACGCTTCCTTGTGCATGTAAAAAATTGCAATGACTGCCTTTTTTCGAGGAAGCTCAGTTTGCATTTCTCAGGCCAGAAAGGTAGACAGCATTTAACTTGGAAAAAAAACCCCAATCTTGCTTTTGCTGCTAGAATCCAAGTTTCTGCTGAAATCAACCAGAATTCCAGAACCAGTTCAATAGCTCACCATATACCAATTTTCCCCTTCCACTTCAACGTTAGGTAGTAGTGCCTTAAAGGAAAAACAAAAACAAAACGAGAAAAACAAAAGTAACTTTGCAAGCTATAGTTGTTTCATATCTTTGCCCCGAATAAAGCAATGTGTGTTCATATCAACAGTCAGCAACTACAATGAACTGAAAATTTTAAAATACCTTTTTATAGCTGTTGCCTTTCAAAGTTTTTAAAATGTGTGATTTGATACACATACACGGTGCATTTTTATCTAAATTGCATGATATCTGGCTCTCGGATACTTATATATATATCTATATATAAAGTATGGTTTAGATATTAATATTCATGATTGCCCATTTCAGCTTTGTCTTAAAAAGTTTCCATTTCTCCCTTTCACACATGCATACACATCCACGTTTGCAGAGATATGTCAAGCTGTAGTTTGTCAAACAGTAAACCTATAATTTAGCTTCTCTATTACTCATCTCATAAATTCAACATCTAATAGTTTTGTTGCTATTTATCAATGGTCTGCTTGTTGTCATGGAACACTGATTCAGCTGTCAAGGTTATTTGGTAATCTGAGGCTCATAAACCAGGAGAAGATTTTTTGTTATGAGCCCAAAGCCAATACATGCTTTTTCCTAATTTAACTGTACTTAAATTTTATGAATAATAAATCATTTTAGTACTACCTATAATGAACAGATTTTTTTTTTTTTGCCAGTGACTCAGCTACAAAAAGCAATCTTGCGTCAGTTATCATAATACAAGCCAAAAGGTTAAAAAATAAGACACAGCACTGTGTTGAAAGACAGTTCCTAGTAAAGTTTCTCTGTATTTGGGTACAATTTTCCAATTTTTCTATGGGATTAGGGCCTTACCCCTTTCTTTCTGCCAAGATGGCATGCGGGAACCATGTGGGTGAATGTTGGGGCTT